TCTTAGTGATAGCAAAATGGCCAATGATGATACCAAGTCCAAGAGCAAGTGCAATTGCAACCAGTGCACCAATTATCAATAGCTAAGTGTCAGTTAGTAATTATTTTCAAAAGTGGACAAGTTTGCAATCTCTTACTCTAGAATTCATAGTTAGAAAACTTTATCTTCTATTGTCTTGGTATTATCGTCTAGTTTTATTGCTTGATGTATACACTGAGGTTTGTCAATGATGTTAGTCTATTGAGTTTAATATATTCTTAATGGAAATGATGTGTTGAATAGTTTTTTTTTGTTTTTCTTATTTTTTTATCATTTTTGTCCTATCTTTTCTTTCGTTCTTTCAACATTCACGAAAGGTAAGTCGTAATTTTGTTTTCACTTGCACCTTGAGACCAATACTGTATCGATTTTGGAAGCACTATAAGATGTAACGACGATTTTAAGAGAAAAAAAAGAAAATATTTTTTTTTCTATGTGAATAAGTTACAACTAATTTTATCGATCAATGAATATCAAACATAAATCTATTGTTCAATATGAAATAAATCATTGATATTCATTCCTGATTTACACTAGAAACAATTCCATTAGGTGTATAAGCAAGAAATGGATCAACTGTTTTTTGATTGTGTTGAATCATAGACTTTTTCAGTTCCATTCATTTGAATAATAATAATGTTATCATTAGTTGTGAGAGTAACTCTGAATAGAAACAGAACAAAAATGAATAAAGATACCTAATACCTTTTGAAATTATCGATTGAAATAATTATTATCTGGATAAGAAAGAAAAACATTAGATTTTGGTTTAGTTACTTGTAAACCATCAAGCCTCCATCGTTGTTCAATGACTTGAGCACTTTCTAAATCTTCAGATAGATCAGCCATATGAGGACGTGGTATGAAATCTTCTCTCTATTGTTTTCGAAATATTATGTACGTATGTATTTTAATTAAAATGCGTTGATCTATTTATTGTTATGTAGCATGATTGATTCTGTAATATCTTTTGGTTTTTACTTTACTCTTTTGCCATTTGATTTCTTTTATTTAGTTTTCTTTTTTTGTTTTACTATTGACATTCATGAAATCTGACAGCCTTTTTTTCTTTGTATTAGTTATACACTTAGTCTAAAAATTCTACTGATAGTACAATCAGAATGCAAAAATAAACATCATTTGAAAGAAAATAGATTATTTTGATTTAGTTGATCAATATTATTATTTCAAAATGAAACTCAAATCAATCTGTAAAATCATTTTGACTTTATTTTGTTTCATCATACAATTTTCAATGATAAAATAAAGTGTCAGCTAGAGCACCAATAAAGAGCATAAAAATAGAAATAGAGAAAAGGTCTACGAATGATATTTAGAATCATGTGCTTTAGAACATATGCATCATGAATAGAAAAAATGCAGATCACAAAAGTTACAGTAAACTAATTAGACATTATTAAATATTATTATCTAATGTTTAAAATGTCTTATTAGAAGTTTGAATAAAATTTGCAATTTTTCATAGTATCAATAATTCAGTAATAAATGGTAAGAAAATTGACGGTTCGTATATTGATAACGAATACACTCATTGACTTTTGGCATATGGTCGTTGATAACAATCTGATGATTTCAATCAAGAGTGAATCATTTTATTACGTCAAACATTTTGACTGATTGAAAAGTAATTTATTTCAGAGTCAAGAGTATCCTTATTGATGCCTTTATATATTATAGTTGTCTTGTCTTATACAAGAAGATAATATAGATAAGTAAGAATGGACGTATTCGAGTCACGATTCGGTCTCGAAAGTTGGATGCCATTGA